GGATGTTTCCAGCGCAGCTCTCCGCTCCCTCAGCTGGGCCTGCCTCTCCACCAGGTCGCGGATCTGCTTCTCCACGGCCTCCAGCTCGAGCTGCACCGAATGCAGCTTGAACGTGTCCTCACCTGCACTCAAAGGTAGACACACATCCGCCATTAAAGCAAGTAACAGTGAGTAAAACAATGGTAATGTGTGTGAATAGAGTATTAGTAATGTAAGCGAGATTAGCGGCAACCACGCTGGCGATGCTAGCGGGCTATTTTGCTAATAGCGGACTCGGGAAATCAAAATAAAACTAGTGATAACAAGGCGCTCTGATTGTTTTTGTTGTAGAATACGATAGGGGATATATTCACACATTATAGAAACGAAAATGATGGTGTATAAAATTGATTTTAAGATAAAAAATTAGACGACAAAGAATTAACTTGACGGAGCTCAAACATATACAGCTGTAATACAGTAGTCAACACTTGAAGTGGATCAAAACCTTTCATCAAAGTTCACCAAAATTCTTGTCTTAGGACAACTTTGATTAACTTTTTTGATCCACTTCAAATGTTGACTATGTATTTCACAATATTAACATTTAACTGCATTTTTGATCAAATAAATGCAGCTTTGGTGAGCATAATGGACGTTTTAAAAACATTTACAAATTTTCATTTATTCCATTATTCGATTGATTTGGACTAGTAGTGTATATCAAGTCATCTGAAGTCTTTGTAACAACCCACAACACTTGCCATACAGCAGAATCTGCACTTAAAGCAGCACTATGTAACTTTTTCTGTGTTCAAAATTTGCAAAATGTATATATTGAGCGAGTACATCATGAATTCATCTTCCAAACCGCGTTTTTGTCTTATTCCGAATCACTCCGGTACACTTATAATAAGTACTTATATTTGGACTATTGTAGCCTGGTCGGGTCGTCACCGCTGCGGAGTAACACATACCTGCGTGGATCGCCATAGACATAAACTTAGAGAAGTAGCTCCGGTTGGAATGTTCTTCCGCAGGATGTGTGCAGTTCTGTTTATTAACCGCTAGAGCGCCAAAAGTTACATAGTGCTGCTTTAACACACATACTAAAAAAAAAATTCACTTTTTGGTGACAATATAACAGAACGATTTGCAGTGCAGTTCATCTTCGTGTCTGCTGGTAACAGAAGTCTCAACAACCCTATTCACACAAATAGAAGTCATATCTAGAAATGTTTATGAGTAATAAGCAAGTTACAAACTAGTAAAATAACAACCTTAAATGTGAAACAGAAAAGAACTACGTTGTTGAGAGTGGTGAGGGGTAATAAACAAAGAAAAGCTATTGTGCTCTTCTTGCCTTGAGCTAAGACAATATTTGAAGGCCCCGGTATCTAAGCTTAAACTGTAGCCTATGTCTTTCAGGTACTTCTGTTGTAATAAAACAAGTAAAATCAATAAATATGACGTCAGTTTAATATTGTACATCTTTACTTTTAGTGGTTTTTTTTTTAGCATTTGAATTAAGAATATGTAAACACTAAGCTAGATGTAAATAAATATAAGCCTTGAGGCCCCCATGAAAGTTTGCTGAAGTCCCCTGGTTAAGAACCACTGGTTTAACTGCATTCGTACAGGTAGAATGTAGGCTCAGTGACATAGGCTACTACATATGGATATGAACTGTATTTCACATATAATCACATAACAGACGGAAAACGAAAACAATCCCTGTTTTACCAGCGCAACATCGGTTTAAATCATAGACTGTATAAAAACAGGTTTAAATGCACTGCATGATGACTACTGTAAACACTACTGTACGGATCGTGTATGCGTAAATGATTACAATTTTGAAAAAATATCCACCTAATTATTAAAACAGTCACATGATCAAATAGAAGCGAGGAATTCCTGTAATGTCAGATGACAAAACACATCATGTAAAAATCAGAGCCTAAACATAATATGGCCAGATCATTAGACATATGTCGGGTTAACATTGCTCCGAGCAGCCAAAAATCAAATGGGCACAAACCTCTTTGTTCATCAGTATCTTCATGTTTCGTTGTGCATTCATCTGGGCAACTCGTTTCTTCACTCTCCTCTTTAATCAACATCTTGTCACACAGATTTCAGTTGTCTTCAGCTAGAGTTGCTCATTTATTGGGGTGAATGTCAGCTCGCAGACTTTACAGTACGCACTACAAGTGCGCCATTTACAGCACGCGCATTGCTGAACTCCACTGTCGGATGTGGAATAAATAATACGACATGCCCGTTTGCCCGATGTCGTGCAAGACTCTTCTTTTTCTTCTGGTGGTGTTTTATGGCTGTTGGAAAACCAACGTATGGTAATTTTTCGCCATCTACTGGCTGAAGTGTGCATCGCCAGGATTGTTAAAATAATAATAATAAAATAAAAGTCAAGTATAAATAACAAAGCCAAAATCCTGTTGCTTTTGCATAATTTAACAGCTCATAATATGCTATATAATATAGTAGATTTTTAATTTTAGTGTTTTATTTCCTTTGTCATAGCAACATGAATAGTCTTAATTAATCCTAGCTAATGCATGACAATTGGTTGAAGCTGCATCAGTGGCATGACTAGACTGAGCTCATGATCCATTTTACACATCAGAGATACAGGCCTGTGATCCATGTTATCCCAGTTAATTTATGCACTGAACATGATCCTTGCAAACAACTTGCTCGTACCTTTGAAACATCTATATCACTCACTGCTCTTAGTTGAATGAGTAATTGAGTAGCATTAACCTGTTAGGGCGTCAGAATCTGAACATTAAGACATATATGTTTATTCATTTGCACTTGTTAAAATGTTAAATGTTAATGTAAACCGTTTATGCAAAATCACCGTTTACTTGATATTTTCATTGATATTATCTTTTTTGTTCTTTTGTCAGTATTGGTGTGAGAAAAATGGACAAATTAACAGGGTTGCATGTCAAGACAGTTTGATAAACAACGTGGAAAGTGGCTTATTTTTTTTACTGTAGAAATTAAATGTATGTTGTTATTCCAGAAGATTATATTAATGCAACATAACTATGTTATTTTGTTATGTTATTTCTTTTTATTATTTCTTCTTTTTTTAGTATTTAGTACTGCCCTTCAGGAGCTGCATATGATATTAATATATTTCAAGACAAAATGACAATTTACAAAACGTTACAAAAGTTTACACCCCCTGACTCTTAACATAGTATGTTGCCTTAGCATTTACATAGTACACAGTCACTGCCATGTTTTAAATCCATCAAACAATTTGATTATTATATTTTGTTAAAGGGTTCACCCAAAAATGAAAATTCTGTCATTAATTTAATCCCCCTCATGTCTTTAAAAAAAAAAAAAAAACCCGTAAGACCTTCGTTCATCTTCGGAACACAGCTTTCTGATTCTCCATAGACAGCAATGCAACTGACATGTTCAAGGCCCAGAAAGGTTGTAAGAACATAGTTAAAATAGTCCATGTGACATCTGTGGTGCAACCGTAATTTTATGAAGCTACGAGAATACTTTTTGTGTGCAAAGAAAACAAAAATAACGACTTTATTCAACAATTTCTTCTCTTCTGTCTCAGTCGACACGCGTTCACGACAGTACCATGACGCATGTGTGTGTGCATTCCTCTGCTTGTAAACAAGGCGCAGCGCATTAGTGTTCTATTAGTGTAAACTTTTTATTTACAGTGACTTACATTGCATTCAAGGCATGCTTTTGATTTTGGACAATACAAAATCAAAGTTTTGATTCAATACTGTACAATATTGATACAATCAATACAATACGTCTACAAAGATCTCCAAAGTTTAACATTTTAATCGCTCCGCATGCGTTTAAATTCCATTGTCTATAGTTATTCCCTCATTTATGTTCTCGCCTTTTCAACGGCCTATCTTCTATCTTTTTTTAGGGGGGTTGGAGGGGCAATGAAATTAAATTGAATAGAAAACAGCAGATTTCGGACGTTGGATCAGGTTAGTGAGCCGTGAAACAGGCTTTTTGTCAGTGCGCGTGCGACTCGCGTGCCGACCGACCAGCGTTGAAAAGAGGGAGACTCATGACCGGGGTCTCGAGCCAGACTCTGCAATGACTGTTTACAATCAATATAACGAGATATTTGTAAAAGATTCGCGACAAAATTTTAAACCACCCCAAAAAAAAAAAAAAAAAAAAAAAGAACACCATGGTGTATCAACCTTTCCTTCAAAATGATGACAGACTCTGTGCAAAAATTTCCCTTTAGTTGACAATGAGTCCAACCACTAAGGTTGTCAAATCTTAAAAAATAAAAAAAATAAAAAATCCATCAAGATTAGGTAAAATCATGCTCTGAGTGACACCGTCATAGTCGGTCTGAGATGCAGACAGAGATGCGGCAGGAGGGAGGGAGGGAGATAGAGAGAGATAGATAGAGAGAGAGAGAGAGA